TTAATCGCCACCATTTACCTGTGTCCACGCAACTGGGTCTCCTCCTCCCCTTCTCTCCTTCCCTCCTATCCGTCTCTGTGCCACGTGAACAGAGCTGCAGAGGAAAGAGAGCAGATGTCGCCATATAACTTTGACTGCTAATCGTTTCCTGAGACACGCAATAAGAGCAGGAATTTCGCCATGTCGCCCTTTATTAGTAACACACTCCGTTTCGGATATAGGGCCAAATAGGAATTAACGGAGGCGACGGGAAAAGCAAGGCCAGATGGAGCAGGCTTGAAGAGCCAGGGGGTTGATAAGGCAAAAGAGGGCGAGGAGGCGGAGAAATAGAAGAATCAACGAATCGCTAAATTAGGACACTGCTTCTGGAAAAAGATATGGAATCTGTAAAAAAAATTCTAAAAAAATCTGAACATGAACTATCCTGGGTAGATGCAATGAATTGGCCAGTTTGTGAAAAAACATACGTCATATTCCCGCATGTAATTAAAGTATATAACCGTTACTGGTCAGTTAAAAAAAGCCGTCGAAAATTAAGGAACTTATAAATACGAGCTTTCATCAGTGAGCGTGTAGGTTTTTCCATTTGTTTCAATTTATTCAAATACAAATTCGAGTAACAATCCTCATATCACTGCAAAGTTTTAAATTCAAGTTCTTGAACAACAAGACTACTCGTATCAGGGTTAAAACAACAAGACTACTCGTATCAGAGCTAAAACAACAAGACTACTCGTATCGAAGAGCTCCGCGGAAAATCAATTTCATAAACCTAAAAAAGGTCTGCAAGTTTTTTGAACATCCGCCTTCTTCAAGAAAATCCCAGATCCACCTCTAGTGTGTTTGCATTCCTCGTTTATGATTTTTTTTGTAAAAGTATTTCAACTTCCACAGCTATATGATAAAATTTTAATGAAATTTTGAAGTCTTTCATGGATCAAATTTAAAGCAGCAGATTAAGTGGGGCTCTGCTTTTCAATCATGATACCACCTTCAACTATTCCCTGTAGCTTAACTTTTTGATGTCATTATTTATTAAACATCAAACGCACGATTTTGTATAAACCGGCGAAAATCTTTCCTATTTGAGTTTTACATGGTACAAAATACATTTTATTTTAGAGGTTAAGAACAAAACTAAACATTGAAAACTATAGCGAACATTTAAATAATGTTTTTCTGTCAAAGTGATTTTTTAATTCACTTGGTGCAGCAATAGCACACACTCAGGAAATTTGTTAAGTGGCTCCCCTTGAGCAGACTAATTTTCACAGCTAGGTTCTTCGCCCATTTCAATGAGAGCAGGACAGGTCTTGATACTCCTAAAATACACTCATCTATTTTTGGTACATTTTAGCTAGCACAAAAAATGGCCTGATATGTCTACATTTTTTTTCCTTTTCATTTTCAAAAAATTCAGCAGTTATCAATCGCCAAGAGAAAGGACCAACATGAAACCTGTTCAGCTTTTTGTTTAAAAAATGAAAAAGCTGTTGACCTTTTTTTCAAGTTGACCAAAAGTTTTGTATTGGGGCCCTTTGTGGAAAATTTTGACCAAAAAAATGCGTTTTTATCAGCGCGCTCTCTCCCTTAAAGATAGGATATAATGGTCTCAGAAAAACTTCAGATTAGGCAAAAATGGATATCGTAAAATAGTAGCAAAAGGGTAAATTCTTTGGATAGGCAGGAGGTCGAATTCCTAAGTTCGCTACTGTTTTGATTTATAGCGTAGTTTGGTTTCCCCCCTCTCATGACCCATCCAACCATGAAAATTGATTTTTAGGGGATTATAATTGATTATTTTAATTATTTAAAAATCCATTATAATCGACTTTTTTGACAGTATAATCGACTTTTTAGGCCACAAAAATCCATGAAACTCGATTTTTTTTCTGCAGAAAAATGTTTATAGCTATTAAACTCTTGAAACATTTCAACCACTGAAACACATGTTTATGCATGTCCCAGGTCTTCCCCCATCACATTTTTCAGTGGGGAGGGGCAGTAGGCTCGGGATAGTGGGCGAATTCTATTTTTTTATTTGGCGATGGTAAAAAAATAACTAAAATTGATATAAAAAACTATGCTGTAATTGTTTAGTTCAAAACGAATTTACAGCAAGCGGACGGATAAATTGTACAGCAAATAACTGAAAAGAAGTCAGCGCCTCAGGATTTTTTGTATCATATTTATATTGATGAATTTGTTTGAAAAACACAAAAAAATTGGCCAAGGGCGAAAAAATGTGTTATCTTACTGCTCTATAATCTAAATAAAACGTGTTTTTTTGTTTAATCGTTGAATGTAAGAGAGGAAAAATGCTTGTTTTTGCAACACACAAAAAATCGAAATGTTCATAAAATGAAGTGGATTGAGTGAGTTGAAAACTATTCATAACTTTGATATACTTTTGTGCTATCGGACACTCTACTTTCTATTTATATTACGTATTTACATTAGTTATATTGCAAAATGGATGGATTCTTTTGTCTGGATACTTTGTTTTTAAAAAATTTGTCACATTAGAAGAAAACATACGCATTTTTTGTTCCCAGCTGTAGCGGATTTAGGGATTGGGGCATACGCCACTAATCAGCATTTTGACTCTCTGTTCTGCCGACCAAAAAGGTTTGGGATTATCCATTTATGGCTGAAAGACGCTAAATTGTTTTGAAAGGCATCTTTGGGGCCAATGTATACTAATTTTGAAGGAAAGCGCAAGCTGAGAAATCAAAAATTCTTGGTCAACATTTTCCAAAACATACAAATAAAATCTTTTTTATGTTTTTTTTTTCAATTTTGCCTGCGGTCAAAAAAAGGCCTTTATGGTGATTTGGGAGAGCTCAGCAAAATCTCACACTTCGAGAAAATCCTAGGTCCTCCACTGGATCTTTTTTGTTGTTTTTCCAGATGAAACCAAGTTTGATATGTGTTCGGTTTAACCAAAATTGTGAAACGTTCAAGACAAGTTTTTTTTTCGCTGAATCCATTTTTTTGATTTTTTTAAAACTATAACCCCACACGCTATATAAATTACAAACTGATTTATTTCGCATATAGCAAAGTATCAAATAGACCAAATAGCATACCACCAATATTAGCACGCGTAAGTAGAGTTTTAACTATATCGCGTGTTAATTGTCCCATTTTAGTCCAAATGGAGTAAGTTCAAAATACAAGATCGCAAAAAGTTATACTTTTTATTTTGAGCTCAAATTAATCAAAAAAGTAAGACAAAAAAAATTCTTGTCAAAAATTTGTAATCAAAAAGTCAAAATCCTTGTGGAGAATTATTTTTTAAAAGCAATTTTGGACAAAAATTTTTTGCCGACATTCAAAATCAGTGTTGCCGCGAATTCAAAATTCGAAAAAATACTCTATCGGGGATAATTTTTTGTTAAATTAAGGTGGTTTGAAAATTGCCTATCTGAGACAAAAAACGTTGCCAAAAAATTTCTTGTTATCAAGGGGTAATCGACTAATTGATTCGACAGTAGTCATTCGAAATTGATTTGAGGCAATTCACTTAAAGTTAATATTACTTTACTAGTCATTAAGAACACCTGAAATTATGCATGGCATACCAAGTGGGGGAATTCTTTCTGCAGTGGTCCTGCTCAATAATTAAATAAAATTTTCAGTAAGTGAATCATCCCGCTCTCATAATTGTTCTACATTGCCTTGAAGCAATATTGCATTGAGATCCAAACTGCGTTACTTGCATAAGTTGTTATTTTAACTGTGCAACTACACGGCATAATTTGCTATTTTAACTCTGCGTATGCCTGAAACTTCAACTCTCAATATTTAATTTATTGTTAGGAAAAGCATAACACTAATGCGCGGTTTTCATACGTTACCACAATTATGTCTCTTTGTACTTTATATAATATGAAGGTGGAGAAATGAAAAAAAATGTAACAAAATATCTTTTTTTAAAAATTTTTTTTCAATAATTTTGTCAATTTTTAGCAAAAAATTTTTCATTGACTTTAAACGGCAAATGGGGCATTTAGGATTTTGTTTGATACGAGCAGTCTTGTCTTTGTCTTCGAATAAAAAAGTGGAATGTTTCTGCTCGGGATGGTTTTTTTCTCTAGATAAGTTTCGACTCGCGACTCACCTTTTTTGACGGAAATTTTTTTGTTTTTATTCGAAAAATAGTGTTGTCTTGAGCTCAAACTGTACAAAAAGCAATCAATTTTTGAAGAACTATGGGTGTTTAAAGATTGCCAATCAAGCGAATTTAGGACAATTAATGCACGTAATGTTTTATGCTATTAACGCTTAAGCGGAGATTTAATCTGGGTTAGACATTACTCCAAATTGAATTAAGGCATGCTAGTTAGTCTATTTATTAAGTAGCTATATGCGAAATGTATGACTTCGTATTTCAAATAGCGTCTGGGGGATTGGCTCTTCTTCTTTTCCCGCGCTTCACATAAACCATCAACTTTAGGGTGTAACGTGGAAGTTTTCAAGGTCAAGTATGAGGACCAAATATGTTTATCATGGCCTGTATAGTCGACATGCCAATTTTTGTGACAATCGAAGGGCAGGTGGGGTGGGAAAAAAAGCAGACACTACTGAAAAGCAGACACTACTTAAAAGACAGTGGGAACATTCAGGGCTTCGCAAATTCTCACATGCATTCTGGCAAGTTAAGGGATCTGGCAAAATCACGAGACATCGTATTGAATACAGGAAACTATTTTCTCTTTTATTTATGAGCCAGGAGGAAAAACTAACTTTGAATGCGATTCAAAGTTCAAAATTCAGTCGCAAAACAAGGTAGAAAAGTAGAAAAAAATATAAAATTGCATGTAATAAAGTCAAAAGCAGATAAAAAACAGTTTCACGTAGATTAACAAAATTTAACATATAGCTGCCTAAGGCAATATCTTCTAGAAAAACCCGAGTTGGATGATGTAACAACTCTTCTGGAGACTGAATTTTGGAATCGGAAAGTGGTTTTAGTGTGATTTGCATGTTATTTTCAGGCTCCTCATTCTTCTCCTCTTCCAATGATAACGGTAAGAGGTCAACTGAAGATATGTAACAAAAATATAAAGCAGCACTCGGGGTCATGACAATAAAAAGCATCTATCCGCATAGCTAGTCATCAGCAAAACTACATTCATGATAACTTATTAATTATAACTAGCACGTCTCCCTTCCTTGTAAAAACATCCTAAGCTCCCCTAACTTCCAATTAAAACTACTAATGGTGTAGAAAAAAGCGCGCAGCTCGCAGCATGAAACTATTTTGTCAACACTGCAATTCGCTCGTGCGCGGCAGGTTTCGGTTCTTCTATGGTGCTCTAAGTTTCTTGATCTGGCTTGTTTTATTGTAGCGGGTTCTCTTTTGAAAATATTTAGATAGTGATTATTTTGTTTTTGATAATCTGATTGGCCTATGATTCGCGGAAATTAAGCTTAAGTTAAATTCAGTTCTATGCCATATGAAAAACTCGCGTGCTGCAAAAAAACAAGCACGGCTGCTATTGTTTACATTTTTATACCGCAATCTTGTTTGATAAAAAATTTTTCTCTTTGATCGGTATGCTAAGAACTCTTGAAACATAGATTGTTTTCTATCACGCAGTTTTTACTATAGACAAGACAAAACACGGGCATTTATTTTCTATCTCAAACTGGTTTTAATTGCATACGGGCTATCTCATAAATCTCGAGTTTACATTTCAATTCTTGGTATCAGAGTTTCTAAAATAGTGGTGAAACATCTGAGCAAGAAACAACAAGCTTGTATTTTACTTTGTCTAGTACCGAGTTCAGAGGGAAAGGTCGCACGCTCCTAAGAAATTGCAACCCAAAACGCTCCTTTTGATTCTCTGCGATTTTTGTTTTTGATTGATACTATATCCGCCCCTGCCTGTGAAGATACAGGGCTAAGCGCTGATGCAAGGGTCCAATTAGGGAGGGTTCCGCTACTCGACCTCCTGACTACCCAAAGGGTCCCCCACTTGGCATTAATTTACATCGATTTTTGTATGAGCGACCTTAAAAATTATCTAAAGGCCTTAAGAATTTCAAAGGGAAGTGCGCACCAAAAAAAGCAATGATTTGGTCAAAACTCGCCCAAAAAGTCTTAGAATGTCGCTTTGTCAACCTAAAAAAGGATGGCATTTTATTTTGAAAATCAGCACCCAATCGAGAAAATTTTAGATCCGCACCTGCAAGGATCAAAGTGGTTTCTCATCGATTAAATGTGTTTATGCGATGCGGCATTAATTCAATGACTAAAAAGAATATCTGTAAAAATTCTTGACTCTTTCCAAACAACTGCTCTCATCCTGCTACATTCTCTTCTTTTTGTCATTTCTTTTCCTGTAATTAAGCGATCCTACGAATCTCAATAACCTTTGTAAAACGTAATAGATAGTCACTAAATGGTGACCTCATAAGTAGTGCAATGAAAGCGTTTGTGTGTGTTTCAGACAGCAACCCTGTAATGGTGGAGATTGACATCACAGTTGCTAGTGTCGATCGCATTTCAGAGGTCAACATGGTAAGAACCTTTTTTGTTCCGGCTTTGGAAGAAAACGGAAAACTTATGCTTGGGACGGTTTTTTATTCATATTCAGTCATTTTTCGGCGATCGAAATAATAAATTTTAACAAAATTTTTTTTACTTTATTGAAGATATCGACTCCCTGATATTTTACCTCCAATACTTTTTTGCAATTTCTGGGAGTTTGAAAATTGCCAACTTGGTCAAATTCTGGACTAATTCATGTGCCTTTTGAAGATTTCATTCATGATTCTGAAAGCGTAACGCAAACTATTTATGCCGCTCAACAAAATCGTTCCAAATTGAATTGAGGCTAGCTCATCGGTCTGATTAATTTCATACGACTCAATTTTTCCCACTTGTTCTTTGATAATGTCCAACATTTGTAATTTTTCAATAAATAATTCTCCAAAATCTTTTTGATATGGATTAAGGGGCACTAGGAACATTCAGGGCTTTGCACTCAAATACGAGCAATCTTGTTAAACAACACTTTTGAAAAATCAAAAATAAACTTGCATCGGAAATCATTATGTTACGCATTGCTGCAAGGCGATTTTTCCCCGTTAAAAATTATTCAAAAAGCGTCTTTACTCAACAAACCGGTCGACAAAATGGTCAAAAAAAATAAGTTTCAATTTTCGAAGATAGCGACGGACTATTTGTGTTCGGGTTAGTTTTTCTTTAAACAAGTTTTCATTTTTTAACAAATCATTTAGACAGGATTCTCAATGAGTCGATGAACGTAGTTCAGACTCTTATACAGATCGTGATAAATCTTTTTTGTTTTTGTTTTGTCACGAAAAATCTTAAGATATTTTCTGGCTCAAGCTTACTTTTTCGCGGTTTGAGTTTCGTTTTCAGTTTAAGTTCAACTCAGTTCTTTTGTAGCAATGAAGGCAAATTTCGCTATCGAGCAGCAAAAATATATGTAAAATTAACAAAAAATTTGATCAATTTTGAGTTTCGAACATGGACCGTAATTTTCAGATTACCCAGCAGAACAACAAGTTTACGTACTGATCCAACTTTCTCATTAGGGTTACTTTTATCTCAAATTATGTCAATCGGCACTTTTTCTAAAAGTTTAAAGAAATTTATGGCCATCTTTTTTTCCTCGGAAACTTAAAAATTGTGATTTTTTCAGAAATCAAAACAATTTGTTCTGTTTCATTGTCTTTATTGAGTTTTTTTTCTTTCCGTCTCTTGGCTGTGGTTTACATTTCCGGCTTTCACAATAAAAACCAAAGGTTAATGCTCTTGACTATTTTTTCAGTCAATTTACGATTTTTTAACTAAACGTTTTTGACGGCGTTTTTTATACCATCTGAAAGATTTTGTTGTCTTGAATTCATTTATCTACGACAATTTTTTGTAATGTATAGGGGTTTGAAAATTGCTAGTTTGGTTGATTTGGGATAGTTACCACGCAATATATTGCGTTTTATAACTGCAAAATGTAACAGTTATAAATTATAATTTTAATTATAATTAAAAATTATAACAGTTGCAGTTGCAAAATGAACTGAGACAATTCGAGACGCTCTCTCTCTCTCTCTCTCTCTCTCTCTCTCTCTCTCTCTTTGTATTTGAGATAGCGTACTTTTTTTCGGTGTTTTTTTCTTCTTTTATTACAAAAAGTTTTTAATTCACCTTAAAGTACACTCAAATAATTTTTTTTTTGGAGAACCTCATCAAAATCAATAGAGTTGTATAGAGCAGTCGGGGCGTCACCGTAATAGGAGTAGTTTTTTGTATTATTACTAAGACGAATTTCATTTAAAAAAAGTTGTCAGCGTGCGGGGATGAATCCGGAAAGCGAGTGAGCTTGCACTAGCCTAATTTTGGTTGGAAACTGCTCGATGATGGTTGGTTAGTTTCATTGGCAAATTTTATATGTGTGGCGAGATCAAAAAGACTGCTTGCATATCAGCGCAAAGCTATATCATTTTGACATCAAAATAAAGTGTAAATTGTAAAATTTTGAGTGACACCCAACTAGCTTGCTTTTAATCAACTTGCAACGATTTTATGATCTAGTTAAATATTTCCCCTCTATTGCAATAGTGGGAGATAGTATACAATGTGCAAAATTCGTATATGCTTAACTGTTCAATTTTTTCTTTGCAGTAGGAAGAGAAAGGTTCGTTACAAGGTACATTAGGGGGGATTACTTAACAAGATCCCGATTTTGTAGTGGGGTAGTATATCACGTTATTATTCCCTAAAGTAAAACACAATACATTCTCAGCATCATGAATTAAATTTTCACAGCGCGCATAAACTTTTGCAGAGCATGGCCGAGTTGGCAATTTTCCAACCCCCAGAACTGCACGAAAAACAATTCAACGAAAGTTAATTATCTTTTTACATTTGAACTCAAAGAGTCGATTTCCTTATTTTTTAGTGTAAAAACTATTCTTTTGATCGCCATAGTTTGACTGAAAGCAAGATTGCTGTCCCGATTGCCCTCAATTGGAATCGAAGACTTGTTGCTTTAGAAAAAAATAAAAACAACGAATTTTGGTCGATATCAATTATCAAGTGCAAAAGTATGAGCAGTGCAAAACTAGCTTGCCTCAATTCATTTTGGAACAATTTTGTAGTTTTGGACAATTTGCCACGCATAAATTAATCGCATTACTCTGTCAGCATCATAAATAAAAATTTCAAAGTCCGCATAAATTAGTTCAGAGCATGGCCAAGTGGGCAATTTTCAAACTCCCAGAACTTTGCAGAACAGAATTGGAGGTAAAAATCTTTTGAATTTTTGAACTTATGAAGTCTGACTGAATAAATAACCACCCCAAGCATAAATAGTCCGCACTTTCTTCAAAAATGGGATTAATTAAACATGAGGACAACCTAAAATACAAACTGTTGATCCAGCTCCGAACGAAGATCTGCAGTTCTATCACTGATAAAGATTAGGTGCGACTCGCTTTCACAATAAAAACCAAAAATTAATGCTCTTTTCAGTCAATTTACGACTTTTTAACTAAACGTGAATAGCGTAAGGTAAAAAAAATTATTAGAAAAAAAAACACTTTTTTTCGGTGTTTTTTTCTTCTTTTATTACAAAAAGTTTTTAATTCACCTTAAAGTACACTCAAATAATTTTTTTTTGGAGAACCTCATCAAAATTAATAGAGTTGTATAGAGCAGTCGGGGCGTCACCGTAATAGGAGTAGTTTTTTGTATTATTACTAAGACGAATTTCATTATAAAAAGTTGTCAGCGTGTGGGGATGAATCCGGAAAGCGAGTGAGCTTGCACTAGCCTTATTTTGGTTGGAAACTGCTCGATGATGGTTCGTTAGTTTCATTGGCAAATTTTATATGTGTGGCGAGTTAAGCCACACTCGAAAATGGTCCATATTGGTTTGAGGCTCCAATTTGGTGTTTATCATTCGTCTCAAAATTTAGCAATTTATATTTGATCTTGGCACTCCAGTATATAATTTACCGAATTTTTTATATAGAAAAAATTGGTTCGAATCCATTTAGGGGGGAATCAGGATATCCAAATCTTAGCTCTGATATACGACCTGTCTTGTTTAGTTAGGTGCAAATTTGAAGGCATCTGTCAACTAATTACTGAAAATTATACGTAATTGTACACTACAAACCTTTTACGTAATAGATCCTAGTATACGAGACGTCACCCAATGGGGCGACCACCACTTCGCTCAAATCTGGTTACCAAGCTTTTCCATTGTTCTCCTTTTGGTACCATTGTATGGCAGCCCAAATTTAAAAATACAAATCAATCATCAAGGGGAGCGCGCGCCGAACAAAAGAAAAAAGGTTTGGTCAAAACCTTCTAATAATGCTTAAATATTTTTTTCCCAAAAAAGCCATCAGTATAGAAAAACTTTGCAGAAAAATGTAACTCAAGGGTTTAAAGAAATCTGAATTTATAAAAATGGTTGATCTAAAAAAGGGCGCCAACACTTCCACAAATTGCCCCACCGTTAAAAATTTCCTCGGCACGCCACTGAAATTTTAAAAACAATTTATATAACTTGAAGATCAAACTTTTGCTGATATAAATTTGTGTTTTTAAAACGTATGCTCATGCTGGTTTGCGCCAAACCTTAGCCATAATCTTTTTATTGTGTCATCGAGGATTTAATCTCCAAAGCTCCTGAAAGTATAAAAATTCGAATTCATTCGCAGCCTTCCGCTGAGTTTCTGACTGAGCCTGGTGAGATAGAGGAATGAACGAACGATCGAAATGGGATTGGGCTATTAAGTGGCGGGTTATCGGGGTCAGACTGAACAAACTATAAGTGATCTGGGGACAAATCTTCGTGATTGATTTTGTCTTTAATTTGGCCCGACTTAAATCGAATGCTCCAATGACCCTTATTATGTCACTATTATTACTTTGCAGTAAATGAACCGAGAAAAAGGACATATTTTATGACCAAATTAAAACAGAAACATAGGGGTTGATTTAGCAAGTGACTCTTTATGTAGCAGTCAAGTTTTATTTATGACTGAATATTAATGAAAAGAGCAGGGGACAAACATCCAGTAGTTTATCAAGTCAGCCCAATCTGGGATTTGTCAGCCAAGGTGTAAGACTATACACTTTTACATATCAAAATTCTGACACGTTTATTATCGTGATTGCGAGTTAAAATCGAACACAGTTGTAAACATAGTATGTCAATACTGACTTAAAAGACATTTGGTCAGCGTAATCTTTCTCTTGAAGTTATTAAGAGCCAGTCCAGAAAAGGCCTCTGTTGAAGTATCGGGCAAATCCATGCCTATAATGTTAGTCGGGAGCTTACTACCCATCTCCTATAAAACCCGGATCATTGAAAGTCTTGCCAGCAGTGCCACTTGATCGTGCTTTCACTACTCAGCTGGACTTAAACTACCTCTTTTCGCGATGATATATACCTTTGTTCCAAAACAGCCGAAAACTTCAAAGATCTCATTCTGACAATCGGTATCCGGTAAAATATCCTTAAATCATTAATTTTTATAGCTAGCCGTATGTTGATGCGATGCGGCTTAGAGCATTAACATATAGTGGCAGGGACACACCGAACAAATCCATCCATATGTTCTGGAATTGTTTTCTGCAGATGATACACTTTCAACTCCCCAAAGCTCATCCGGCTCATCTTCATCTTCTTAAAAGAGGCAGAGGAAGTTCAAGTCTGACATTGACGTTGAAGTCTGTTTTTGTCTTTGAGTTCTTTGACGCTCAAGTCTAAGAACTCCTACACATATGCTTTGATTTCTGACATTCAAAACTTACTTGAATCTGCGATATAAGAAAAGCAAGATAAGCTTTTTCTCAGATAGAAAATGAGAGGGGGTTTGTGAAACTGCAATTGTGTTTTCAATGTCAAAACTCATCATGGTATACTCATCATCGACTTCGCAAGATTTAATAACAGTTAAAATACTTTAACGGGTATAATAAATAAATGTCCCTGAGCAAACGCATAAACAGCGATATAAGTCAAGGAAAATGATTCAATTAAATCAATGGAGCGAAAAAAAAATAATTTAGATTGAGTTAAATTAGACAGAAAAAGGTGGAACCTTGAAACTAAACTGTGTCAGCTCAGCTTGCAATGTCAAAATTACTTATCACCTATTTCGTGTTTTTCTAATTTCGATTTTATGGTTTTGAGTTTGCCGATTTTCGAAGAAGCTAAGAGAACTTAATGCAATCTGGGATTTTTTCGCCAGACGCTATTTGACTCTCGTAATAACAATATTTTGACAAAATTGTTTCAAACTTAGTGAAAGATACAGTCGATATTAAATATGTGATTAAAAAAGGAACAACTTGCAACAAAAACCAACTCGTAAAAAATGACAACTCGCAAAATTTAAGGAGAGCGACAACTCAAAAAGGTTGAAAATTTTGTTTGTAACTTAAGAGTTTTGGTTTAAGGTCGCCTTGGTTTAAGAGTTTTGGTTTAAGAGTTTTAAGAGTTTTGGTTTAAGAGTTTTGGTTTTAAAATGATTCAATTAAAATCCAAATCCGTTATTGCACCGATTTTCAAAGTCTCACATTTGTGCCCGGGTGGTCCTTCTCAGCAACAAACTATGATTTTTAACTATCAATTTTTCTAATGGCGGAGTTTGTAAAATAATCAAAGAAATCCTAACGCTTTGAGCTAAAATTATATTTCACTAGATTGAATCCTGCCTATTGGAGCAGTTTAGGACGACTAATTCACGACATACCTTTATTGTAAAACGAAAAAATCTAGTCCAGAAATCATTGCAAATTTAAGAGAAGGTTGCTAATTTGTTTAAGTAAAGCTGCTTACTAGAAATTTAACACTTTACAAATGAAAGGAGTGTGGGGGAAGACTGCCTAAAGTTTTATATAGTTTTGAAATATTCATAATTTTTCTTTTCAAATACCTAAAACATTCCTGTCATTTTAAATTACGCGCCAGAAATTGTATATTTCAACAATGACCTCAATGAATTTTTGGAAAATTTTTCCATCCCACTAGAAACCAAATTCGGGAAATTCAGCACTTCGCCTTAACATTAATTCGTCAAATTTTGGGGCAGTCGGTAAATATCAAAAAAAAAACAATTAATCAACAAGACTGCCCATGTCAGAGCAAGGCCCTGAATAATCCGATTGCCTTTTAAGCTCTATGAAAAAGTTATCGCTTTATAAAATAAGTTCCCTAAAAAAGTAAAGACTTTTTTCAAAGTCTCTTTTCTTAGACTTTTTTGAAACAACATTCCCCTCACGCTATGCCTGCAAAGTACAAGCTTACTTTTTTTTGCATATAACAATTTATTAGAAAGCATGGCTCAATGCGATTTGAAACGAGTTTTGAGACCGATTAAATCTCTGCTTACGCGTTTATAGCAGGAAATACATCGAGTGTTTTTTGTCCCAAATTAGCCAAACTGCCAACCTACAAACCTGTTTTAAGAAAAATCATCAAATAATTTTTGGTCGATTTTAAAAAAATCTGCCACAAATTGCTGGTTAAAAGGTCGAACTTTGTCTGTAGAGAAAAACCACCCCGAGCACGTATACTCCCTCCCGTTCTTCAAAAGTCTGAAATGTAAACTAATTGTTAGTGAGATAATAATATTATAAAGATCAAAAAGACGGCTTGCATATCAGAGCAAAGCTATCTCATTTTGACATCAAAATCAAGTGTAAACTGTAAAACTTTGAGTGACACCCAACTAGCTTGCTTTTAATCAACTTGCAACAATTTTGGGATCTAGTTAAATATTTCCCCCCTATTGCAATAGTGGGAGATAGTATACAATGTGCAAAATTCGTATATGCTTAACTGTTCAATTCTTTCTTTGCAGGAGGAAGAGAGAGGTTCGTTACAAGGTACATTAGGGGGGATTACTTAACAAGATACCGATTTTGTAGTGGGGTAGTATATCACGTTATCATTCCATAAAGTAAATAACAAAACATTCTCAGCATCATAAATTAAATTTTCACAGCGCGCATAAACTTTTTCAGAGCATGGCCGAGTTGGCAATTTTCCAACCCCCAGAACTGCACGAAAAACAATTCAACGAAAGTTAATTATCTTTTTACATTTGAACTCAAAGAGTCGATTTCCTTATTTTTTAGTGTAAAAACTAATCTTTCGATCGCCATAGTTTGACTGAAAGCAAGATTGCTGTCCCGATTGCCCTAAATTGGAATCGAAGACTTGTTGCTTAAGAAAAAAATTTAAAACAACGAATTTTGGTCGATATCAATTATCAAGTGCAAAAGTCTGAGCAGTGCAAAACTAGCTGGCCTCAATTCATTTTGAAACTATTTTGTAGTTTTGGACAATTCGCCACGCATAAATAAATCGTATTACGCTGTCAGCATCATAAATAAAAATTTCAAAGTGCGCATAAATTAGTTCAGAACATGGTCAAGTGGGCAATTTTCAAACTCCCAGAACTTTGCAGAGCAGAATTGGAGGTAAAAATCTTTTTGATTTTTGAACTTATGAAGTCTGACTGAATAAATAACCACCCCAAGCATAAATAGTCCGCACTTTCTTCAAAATTGGGATTAATTAAACATGAGGACAACCTAAAATACAAACTGTTGATCCAGCTCCTAACGAAGATCCGCAGTTCTATCACTGATAAAGAACTACTGCATGCTATTACGCATTTTTTGTCTGCGAAAAGTTGCATCACATCAAGTGACGAGCAATGATCATGATGCGCCCAAAATCACCAATATTTCGACTGAGATGCCGAACTTAGTCAACCTCTTTGCCACTGCTTAATAGGAAATCAGAATGTGAAATTCAGCAGAATCATAGTTCAAAAAGTCCAGGAAGTTGCATCATTTAAAAATGGTTCTTATTTCTTCTAAGAGCAGCAACTGGACCAGGAAAATTGTGTCGGTTTGAAATAAAAATTTCTGAAACAAAACATCATACTAAAACAAGACATTAAACAAAAACCATTGCAAAGTTTTTTTTCTTATCAATGATGGCTTTTACTCATAAAGAAAACGAAGCCCTGTGGTAGAGCGGGTTAAAACCTGAATTTTGAAGCCGGAGTTTTTTAAATTTAACTAATATTACTTTTATCGCATGAGCGATAAAAGTTGTGATAATTACTATTAATAATAATTAAATTTATTTTTCAGGACTACACTCTAACCATCTACTTGAGACAGTACTGGACAGACAGCAGATTGGCATATGCGCATGTGTTAGACGGAGACCAAGTGTCAGTGCTCCCTGTAGATGGGAGGATCACAGACAAACTGTGGCTGCCGGACACATACTTCACAAACGACAAGGACAGCTACCTGCAGGACATCACAGTCAAGAACAGGATGTTGAGGATCAAACCACACGGACAGATCATATATGGACTCAGGTAATTGTCAAAGAATTCTAGGTATTATTCGTCGATTCTAGTAATCGTATTAATACAAGTTGCATTAGCTTTCGTGTTATTACGAGTTGCATATTTGCATATTATGAAATATTTGAAAAAAAAAACTGTAAAAGATACACACATAGAATAGCCAGCAAGAAAAAAGATATATTGTTAATCAGCTAACTGATCTTAAAGTCTAATATCTTAGACTATTAACGCCCGACAAACTGATTGCTTGGAAGAAAGAATCCTTTCCACTTTCTTCCAGAAAAACTAAACTAAAATTCGCATAAAAATTTTTGTTACAAAGAAGCAAATAAATTAGTACTTCAAAGTAGGCCTTTCTAACTGTATTTCTAGTTATGAAATAAAGTTAGATAATTCAGGAACTGAAGTTCAAAGCTTAATCGAGTTTCGTCTGAAAGGGGCGAATAATAAATTTTCCGAGAGTTCGATTTTCCAATCTAAGTCGGATTTCTTCTATAAAAATTTAAGGAAGAGTGGAATGAATCAAGAATTATTTAGTTCTTTTTTATAATCGATATTGAATCTGGTAGAATTTTGTACTCGTTTCTGTACTCAATTTTTGCGTTTCGTAGCAAAAAGCATCAGCCAATCTTAGGCAATTGTTCATAGTTTTCGTTTTGGGATGGAGATATAGTGAAAAAAATAGTGTTTTAGAAGATTCCCAGCTGTTGCATCTTTTCACTCATTTTCAGTTCTTAGCCATACAGCAAACTGGAATGAAATTGAAAGGGTATCAACCCTTCAATTGGTAAGTCGATATACTTTTGAGTGACGGAATATTTGTGCTGGGGGTGGTTTTTTTTTCTTCAGACATAATTAGACTTTTTAACTTGCCATTTTTGACAGTTTTTTTTATATCAGCCAAAAGGTATTGATGTCCTAAGCTCAAATTTGAAAAAATATTTTACCTGTGATCTTTTTTCATAAAGTTATGAGGGTTCATAGATTACCAATTTAGCCATTTTGGGATAAATAACGCGTGATATATTTAGCACTATTAACGCGTAAGCGGAGATTTAATCCCCCATAAAAAATGTTTCAAATTAGTTGAAACAGGTTATTTGTCATAATTTCTACGATACTAGGAGCGAAATCTATCTCTTTGTATTTTGTATGATGTGTTGGGGGATGATTTAAAAAATACTCAAAATGCTTGTACTCTTTTTCTTTTTTTTTCGAAAAACTCATCAGTATTTTTAAAGCGAAAGATCTTTATAGACCTTAAAAGGCAGTCAAAACATTCATGGTTTTGCCCTAATACGAGCAGTCTTGTTGTTCCGACTTTCGATACGAAGGTAACGGAACATTTGTACTCGGGATGGGTTTTTTCTTCAGACAAATTTTGAATTTTTAACTAGCCATTTTTGACGGAATTTTCCAAATATCAATCAAAAGAAATTATTATCCTCAGCTTAAATTTGAAAAGATATTTCACACGTATTTATTTTCCCTAAAGTTATCGGAGTTTAAATATTGCCATTTTGGCCAATTAGGGACAATTAACGCTCGATATTTTTCGCACATTTGACCCGTAAGCAGAGAAGTAATCCGTCTTAGAAATCGTTCCAAATTGGTTGAAAGAAACTTATTTGCCATAATTGATTTGTTACAAGGAGCGAAATCTATTCTTTTGCATTTTATATGGCGTGTGGGGTGATGATTTTCGTAGAATCTGGTAGTTTGAATCTGGTAGTTTTCAACTCTGTTTAATTCTCAAATTTTGAATTTTAGCGAAAATTGTTAGCCAATTTTAGGCGATTCTCACATTTTTGTTCCGATTTTTGATACGAAAGTAACGAAATATTTGTGCTCGGGTTGGGTTTTTTTTCTTTAGACACATTTCGACTTTTTAACTAGCCATTTTTGACGGAATTTTTTTAATATCATTCGAAAGCTATTGTTGTCCTGAGCTTAAATTTGAAACAAAATTTCACCTGTGATCGTTTTTTGTAAAGTTATGAGGGTTTAAAGATTGCCATTTTGGCCATTTTGACCAATTTGGGACAATTAACACGCAATATAATTCGCACTATTAACGCGTAAACGGAGATTTAATCCGTCTTAGAAATCGTTCCAAATTGGTCGAAAGAAGCTTATTTACCATAATTGATTTGTTAGAAGGAGCAAAACTTATTGTTTTGTACTTTATATGGCGTGTGGGGGGATGATTTTCATAGAAAAGTTTCAAATTTTAGAGAAAAAAAAACTTCATTTTATTTATTTGATTTAATTTTTTTATGTTGTTTATGTTATTACTGCTCCATAAACGTTAAAAGGCAGTCGCAACTTTCAGGGCTTCGCCCTGATACGAGCAGTCTTGTTATAGGTTATAATTCATTTAAAATCTATTTTGATTGATTATATTGGATTATAATCACTAAAACTTTTGCAAACTGATTTGAAAAACGTTCAACAATTTCTGTTGGACGAGATGTAAGCGGGGGAGAGAAGTACTGTAAACATGGAGAGTAAATTGTTTACGTGGGGAGGGGCTGTAAACAAAAAAAAATGGGGTGTATAAACAAGAGGGATGAAAGGAGGGGTGTAAACGAGGAGGGGAAACGAGAGGAGGGGGTGTAAACGAGGTAGAGGCGGCGGGGAAGGACTTAAAATGAATCAAGAAAAGTAAATGGAGATCAACAAAATATGAGAAACTTTAGAACTTACAAGAATCTCATTTTATCTGATGCAATGTGTATTAAGCCGAATCAATTTTAAAGTTTTGAATACACTGTTTTGTGTTTAAAATTTTTAGAAAAAGTCGAAAAAAAAATTGATTATATTCCATTATAACTATTCATTTTTAATCAATTATAATCAATTTTTTTATAGAGATTGACTACAAGAACCCAACATAATCGATTAGTATCCATGAAGTTTTGTTAAAAGGAAAGTAAATCCAACTATCGAAAAGCAAAAATGTAAAGACCACAAAAATAACCTATTTATTTTGAAAGGTTTTGTAGGCAAAACCCTTAAACAAGATAGTCGATTTGCGTGAATCATTTCACGTTGCGAAAGGATTTTTATGCAATGTGTATTTAGCCAAATCAATTTCAAAGTTTTGAATATACTGTTTTGTGTTTAAAATTCTTAGTAAAAAGTTGAAAAAAAAAATTGATCATATTCCATTATAACTATTCATTTTCAATCAATTATAATCAGTTTTTTTTTATATAGAGACTGACTACAAAAATCCAACATGATCGATTAGTATCCATGAAGCTTTGTTAAAAGGAATGTAAATCCAACTATCGAAAAGCAAAAATGTAAAGACCACAAAAATAACCTATTTATTTTGAAAGGTTTTGTAGGCAAAACCCTTAAACAAGATAGTCGATTTTCGTGAATCATTTCACGTTGCGAAAGGATTTTTATGGGATGTTAATTGATTTTTTTTTTCAATTTAAAAAAGTCCATTGTATTCGATTACAATGGATTCTAAATCATTTTTATTGACAATATAATCGATTATTTTTAATTCATAAAATTCATGAAAATCGATTGTTTTTTATTTAGATGTGAAAAGTTTACTCAGTTTTGTGCAGCGTTCTGCAAAACTAGAACCAGAACGAATATGTTCGCCCCAGTATATATCACACCGTCATTGTTTGGCATACGCCCCTACTTTCACACCACCTCACCCCCCTCTTCCACACACCCTTCTATTCAAAAACTCAAATACGTTCCGTCTACTCCTTTCCCCCATGTTTACCCCCACTCCCAGCTTACCACCTCCCTCCAAATTATTCGACTAACTTTACCTCCACCACTTACCCTACCACCCAGTTTCAGAAGAAAAAAATTTGGTTATTGCCCATTATAATCGATTAAACTCTGTTCAAATTGATTTAATTGGCTTCAAAAAAATTAAAGTAAAAATTATCAAAGAACTTTTTTGCGAGCAGTTTTCTCGAAAAACGATAACTGGAAAAGAAAAAAGTGCTATTAAAAACCATTCTTGAAATTCAAGAAGGTTTACACAGTATCGAAACTTAAAAATTGAAAAATAATCTAAAAGTTCCAATCCATTTTTTTTTCGGTTTTTTTGAGTTCTTTTACATTTTCTCCAACTGTATGCAGGCTACGTTCTTGACTTGGTTGAAAACAATACATTTTGATTGGAGTCCTTGTTTCTTGTTTTTGTATTCGAGAAGCGAAGCACAGTCAGAATAAGTTCCTGAACTAGGCTCTAGACAGGAAGTTATACCACATTTTTCATTTTGGTAAGAATTTTTGCGAGAGCTAAACAAACAGTTTCACGTGCGCTAAACTGTCGAAGCTTGTTGTTCCGACTTTTGATACGAAAGTAACGGAATATTTGTGCTCGAGGTGGTTTTTTTTTCTTCAGACAAATTTCGACTTTTTAACTAGCTATCTTTGACGGAATTTTTATATCATTCAAAAGGTATTGTTTACCTGAGCTTAAATTTGAAAAAATATTTCACCTGTGATTTTTTTTTGTAAAGTTATGAGGGTTTAGAGATTGCCTTGTGGGGTGTGGGGGGATGATTTTCATTTAAAAAATTCAAATTTTAGAAAAAAAATTTTCGTTTTATTTTATTTCATTTAATTTTTTATGTTATTACTGCTGCTCCATAAACTTTAAAAGGCAGTCGGAATATTCAGGGCTTTGCCCTGATACGAGCAGTTTTGTTCCTTTTGGGATGGATGAACCAATTGGAGATTTAGTTGAAAAAATGGTGCTCTAGAATACGCACAGCTGCTGCATCGTTGTTCAGTGCTGTTGCTATTTTAGCTATGCAGCAAACTTGAATACAATAGAAAAAAGTTGCACATGCTATTGAGAGCTTCTATTTTTGTTAACCTGCTTATGGTTAACTTAAGCTTTCTCTTAGATTAGAATAAAATTTAAAAAACTTGAGTTTCTGCTTCAATTTGAACTCAGAACACTTTACAGATTTATCTGCAAAAAAAATTAACAGCAGTTTAAATCTGAAGAAAAAATACATTCAATTAAAGCTAGCTTGAAGTAGTATTTTGAAGTATAGGGCCGAATTACATCACGGGAGTTTTTTAGATATCAAAACTTTATTCATCCACCAATGTGAACCCAGAAATCTAATCAGTGGTCTTAAGTATAAAAAAAGCTTAAGAAATTATTGGTATTCTTACATTTAGAGAGATTTAATTTGAATAGCTCAAGCTTTCATTTATTTCAGACTGTCCGTGACGGCGTCTTGCGTGTTTGAGCTGAAGAAGTTCCCCCACGACAGACAAAATTGCTCCCTCAACCTCGAGAGCTGTAAGACACTCAGCGCCTATTATTTTAAATCCCATGTTTTCGATCCAAAAACTCATTTTACTTACGAAAATTTCGAAAATCTTGGGTTAGATATCCAGCTAGATACTGCATAACTCTTTTACGTCCGATGTCCGATTTTATGGCCTTTCTTAGTTATTTTTGAGTGAACCTGGAAACATATTTGACTGAAAACAAAGAATACAGTTAGTGCTATAATACATAGACTGTGAACAGTCCTTCTTCTTTGTAGATGGATACAATACCAAAGACATTCGTCTGAAGTGGGCAAATAAGTGCGTGCGTGGCTTCGGGGACGTAGAGTTGCCCCAGTTCAGAGTGACCGGGTGGAACTGCACCGCCAGCTTCGTCAGCTTCTCATCAGGTAATCATACTTACAAGATCACTTATCGCAAAGTATGATAACCCCTTATGGTTAACTATTCCTGACTTGCTGGTTTATTAATGGAGAAAAACGAGATCGATGGTACCAGGCTAGCTTGATATCAATCAATCGAATAGGTTTTTTTTGATAATTCGAGAAGAATGTAAAGTCACATATCCCACTCATTTGACCTCTCCTCACCTCATATTACTTCATTTGACCTCTGATTCTCGTTTTCATCTCTCTCCTTTAGGTTCATATGATAGACTGTTCCTGCTGTTCTATCTGGAGAGGAGTGTGGGTTACTTCGTGTTCCAGACATACATGCCATGTATTATGGTAGTCTGCATGAGCTGGGTCTCCTTCTGGATCAACTACGAGTCCAGTCCCGCCAGAGTAGCTCTGGGTAAGAAAGAGTTTCAGCCACTCCAGACCTGCCAGAGCTGCTGATAATTTCCAGCTAACTGATTTAATTTTTTAAGAGAAACAGAACGATGTGACTTTCTCTTAAATAGGTCGTGATATGTTTTTTTTTCAACAAAAAGGAATGAAAACTGTTCATGCTCAAATTTGTTTTTTGGCAGTTTGATTATGATCACTTGTGATTACTTCCCTCTGCGGACTTTCATAGACAATAATCGATTATAAGGGGAAAATGTTGTCTAAAATGTTGTCATTATAATCCATTGTTGTTGCAAACTTAGACCATGAAATGAATTTTATTGACCTTATAATCGATTATTTCCGTAAAATCACAATCCATTTATATTCATTATTGTTCCGACTTTCGATACGAAAGTAACGGAATATTTGTGCTCGGGGTGGGTTTTTTCTTCAGGTAGCCATTTTTGACGGAATTTTTTTATATCTTTCAAAAGGTGTTGTTGTCCTGAGCTTAAATTTGAAAAGATATTTCACCTGTGATCATTTTTCGTGAAGTTATGGGTGTTTAAAGATTGCCATTTTGGCCAATTTGGGACAATTAACGCGCGATATATTTCGCGCTATTAACGCGTAAGCGAGATTTAATCCGTCTTAGAAATTGTTCCAAATTGGTTCAAGGAAGCTTATATGCCATAAATGATTTGTTAATAGGAGCAAAATCTATCACTTAATACGTATTATGACGTGTGGGGGGATGATTTTCATTTTTTTTATATTATATTTAATTTTTTTATGTTATTACTGCTCCATAAAATTTAAAAGGCAGTCGGAACATTCAGGGCTTCGCCCTGATACGAGCAGTCTTGTAACTATTAAAAATTTAAACGGTACTAATTGTACCTATGAGTCAGTGGTAAACGCTTTGCCTCTCTTTGAGAACTTTGATTTGATTCCCGAGTTGTTCACAAAATGATACAAGACTGCTCGTATCAGGGCGAAACCCTGAATGTGCCGACTGCTTTTTAAGGTTTATGGAGCAGCAGTAATAGCATAAAAATTAAATGAAATAAAATAAAATGATTTTTTTTTTCAAAAATTTGAATTTTTTAATGAAAATCATCCCCCCACACGCAATATAAAGTACAAAAAGAGAGATTTCGTTCCTTGTATCAAATCAATTATGGCAAATAAGCTTCTTTCAACCACTTTAGATCGATTTATAAGACGAATTAAATCTCCGCTTACGCGTTAATAGCGCGAATTATATCGCACGTTAATTGTCCCAAATTGGTCAAAATGGCCAAAATGGCAATATTTAAACCCTCATAACTTTACGAAAAATGATCACAGGTGAAATATCTTTTCAAATTTAAGCTCAAGAAAACAATAGCTTTCGAAGGACATAACAAAAATCCGTCAAAAATGGCTAGTTAAAAAGTCGAAATTTGTCTGATGAAAAAAAAACCTACCCGAGCACAAGTATTCCGTTACTTTCGTATCGAAAGTCGGATCAATTAGGAACAGTAAATAGAGATCAACAAAAAATGAGAAACTTAAGAACTTACAAGACTCTCATTTTAGCTGATGCAATGTGTATTTAGCCAAATCAATTTCAAAGTTTTGAATATACTGTTTTGTGTTTAAAATTCTTAGTAAAAAGTTGAAAAAAAAAATTGATCATATTCCATTATAACTATTCATTTTCAATCAATTATAATCAGTTTTTTTTATATAGAGACTGACTACAAAAATCCAACATGATCGATTAGTATCCATGAAGCTTTGTTAAAAGGAATGTAAATCCAACTATCGAAAAGCAAAAATGTAAAGACCACAAAAATAACCTATTTATTTTGAAAGGTTTTGTAGGCAAAACCCTTAAACAAGATAGTCGATTTTCGTGAATCATTTCACGTTGCGAAAGGATTTTTATGGGATGTTAATTGATTTTTTTTTCAATTTAAAAAAGTCCATTGTATTCGATTACAATGGATTCTAAATCATTTTTATTGACAATATAATCGATTATTTTTAATTCATAAAATTCATGAAAATCGATTGTTTTTTATTTAGATGTGAAAAGTTTACTCAGTTTTGTGCAGCGTTCTGCAAAACTAGAACCAGAACGAATATGTTCACCCCAGTATACATCACGCGGTCACCGCTTGACATACGCCCCTACTTTCACACCCACCTCACCCCCTTCCACCGCCCCTCTCACCCCCCTCCAGATCCTCTACCAGACACCCTTCTATTCAAAAACTCAAATACGTTCCGTCTACTCCTTTCCCCCATGTTTACCCCCACTCCCAGTTTACCACCTCCCTCCTAATTAATCCCCTCACTTTACCCCCACCACTTACCCTACCACCCAGTTTCAGAAGAAAAATTGATTTTTGCCCATTATAGTTGATTAAACTCAATTCAAATTGATTTAATTGGCTTGAAAAAAATTAAAGTGATAATTATCAAAGAAACTTTTTGCGGGCAGTTTTCTCGAAATCCGATAACTCGAAAAGAAAAAAGGTGCTATTAAAAACCATTCTTGAAATTCAAGAAGGTTTACACGGTATCGAAACTTAAAAACTGAAAAATAATCTAAAAGTTCCAATCTATTTTTTTTTGGTTTTCTTGAGTTCTTTTACATTTTCTCCAACTGCATGCAGGCTATGTTCTTGACTTGGTTGAAAACAATACATTTTGATTGGAACCCTTGCATACCCTTCTTGTTTTTGTATTCGATAAATTCCTGAACTAGGCTCTAGACAAGAAGTTATACCACATTTTTCATTTTGGTAACAATTTTTGCGAGAAATAAGCGAACAGCTTTCGAAGTTTGTATCATTTTGTGAACAACTCGGGAATCAAATCAAAGTTCTCAAAAAGAGACAAAGCGTTTACCACTGACTCTTAGGTACAAGTAGTACCGTTTAAAGTTTTAATAGTAACAAACTGATATGAATTTGTCACAGTTGAGACTTTAGTTGAACAAATAAATTCTCGACACGGTTGTGAATTTGAGCATTTAGTTCGGCTGGCGGTTTACTCCTCTGCCATGAACCTGTCTGTCATCGTATTTTTATCTTCAGACTAATTTTAACTAAGCTTTTTTGTCAAGACAACAATCCAAACTAGCACAGCAAACAAAAAATGGCGCTCAATGCACCATTCATGGCGAAACTCATGCAAGTTGAACACTTATATTGTTTACGAGATGAAAATGTAGTTAAGCTTAGCAGTTTGTTCATTTCATTAGTTTTTTTGTCAAAAAAACGCGTTGTCACGCCGCGACTTTTCTGGTTGTCACTCCGCGACGTTTGTTTTTAGCGCGTGACCACTATTCTTTTTTTAAGGACGTCCTGTATATTAATTTTACGAAGCAATCAGTGATCGCTTACGGAGGTAAATGAAAGAAAAAAATCTAAAACTGTTGAAAGAGAACTATATTTTAAACAAGAATTTCTGTTCAAATCTATAACAAATCGAACTGAACTAAGCTTATTGTCTTACTTATTTCTAGACTAATTTCTGGTTATCACTAAACAAAATTGAAACCATTGAGAGTTTTTGAGGAAATTTGAGCGTTGAAGCGTTTGCTTTCTTTGTAAATTTTGTAGTCCAAGCAGATTTGGTCATCAAATAAGCCATTTTTGAGTCAAAATCTAGGTTACATTGAAGATGTCGACTGGCTTTAAATTTCAAAATACAGTTGTTGCTGCAATCTTTCTACATAAATTACTTCGGTAATGGACTTGTACAGCTATGTTTTTCAAATCAAATGAGTACTAGTTTCCTGACTTTTTAGTTTCCTGTTTCGAAGCGGACCTGCTTTGCTGTATACCAAAAGAGTTTAAAATATCTCTGGATCTTGTCGAGAATGGTGTTTTTCATTTGCCTGTGTCGATAGCATGCATCATTTATGATAGGTTGATTCATTTCTCAATCTCTCTTCACACATCCGGGAGAGTAGAAAAAGTCCAACAAAAACAGACACATAAAAAATTAAAACTTGTGCAGATTTATTGGTGAGCGGATGGTGCCTCGTTTTCTGATCTGCACAAGCGATGTCATAAATTACTACTATAGCTGGGATTAAATTCAAGGCTTGTTAAAAATAAGACTTGCTTTTCACTTCTTTTGGGTATAACTGGTGCATGGTCGGATAAAGTGCATGATCCCAGACTAGGATGCCGGCCCGCCTTACAGTGCTTGTGTAGTGAGTGTGGCCTGGGCCGGATTTGGCGCAGGTGTTTGGTGGTGGCTGAATGGAGGAGCGCAACAACCAATCACTCCTATATTACATTCCACCGCTATCAAAGTGACCACGGCCGCCTGAATTAATAATTAGACTGTGCGTCACTCTATAAGACATGATCAAGTAGCACATTATTACAAAAGGAGGTAGGGGGAGGAGGGTGGGAAATGAGTGCCAGCAAATCATGTGAACTAAACTTAAGGCCACCTAAAAGCAACTAAAATAATTTTGAGAAAGAATATCCCGATAAAAAGTTGGAATAGTGGGATTTTTTTATTTTTTTCTTCTAAAATGAATAAAACATGAGAAAATAAGACAAGACTGCTCGTATCAGGGCGAAGCCCTGAATGTTCCGACTGACTTTTAAAGTTTATGGAGGAGTAATAACCTATAAAAACTAAAAGTAATAAAATAAATTGAATTTTTTTTCTTCTAAAAATTGATTTTTTTAAATGAAAATCATCCCCCCACACGCCATATTAAGTTCAAAAGGATAGATTTTGCTTCTTGTAACAAATCAATTGTGGTAAATAAGCTTCTTTCAATCCCTTTTGAACAATTTCTAAGACGAATTAAATCTCCGCTTGCGCATTAATAGCGCGAAATATATCGCACGTTAATTGTCCCAAGTTCGCCAGAAACTTTTCAACCCCCCCCCCCCCCCCGGTTGACCTGCATACGCCGAAAATGCTTCCTACGCTTTGAAAGGTTTTTGAAGTATTATTGCGTTTTATTCTCATTCTTTTTTTATCTAATTCAGTCGCCAT